AGAGAGTGGGTGTGGGAGGGGGAGTGAGAGAGTAGTATGAGAATCATTCAATGGAACGCAAGGAGTTTAGTGGCTAATGGACAGGAATTAAAAGGTTATGTGCAGAACAAGGAGAGGAGACCTGATATTATATGTGTTCAGGAAACATGGCTTATGGTGCATTCAGACCGCAAACGCTCAAACGCTGAAGCCCCCGTCTGGACAAAGGAGAGTTGTGTTAGTGGAACAGTTGATAAAAGACCTCGCAACTCGTTCACTCGAAGGGCATAAAACATTGGAGATGAGATTGAATAACATCGTGTGCCAGCAATGAACTCTCTGACCCGGCAAGGATTTGCCTCTGTGTACGGAGGTCTGAGGGCGCCGCAATTCGGTTTAATTGGATTGAATAATATATCTGCCTGCTTTTGACCGCTCAATTGCATATAATATTGTCCCTCTCAGGCGATGTGTTTTTCTCCTGCTGTGTCTTCTCTCCACTCGTATCTCAAATTCCTCTGCCAAGGCCATATAACAAGGTCCCCCAATCTACAACAACCTCACACTTCTCAGTCTCCAGCTCGGATCCCGCTCCCCCCGCCTCCCTCTACCTATCCATCTTCTCCTTCCCTCCCCTCCACTCCTCATTGTCTTTCCGGCTCACCCCCTCCCTGATCCTGCCTCCCTCTGACAGCCACATTGAGCCGGCAGTCGGAGGTGCTCATCCCGAGAAAAAAATCCGTGGTTTATACAAAGCACAATGTGTCTATCCAGCTGTCCGTGCCGTGAATGCACTATGGGTTTACGTTCAGATTTAGAATATTATAGGTGCTCTCTCCGCTGTCACTTTCCACCTCAAAATGTGACATCTCACCTCCGTCAGACTGTTCTCATTCAATGTCTTGAAGCACTGTCAGGGCTTCATACCGTGTACTTTCAGCTCTATTCATTTTGTACTCCTCTCAATTCAAAACTCTTTCTCTCTCTCAAATAAAAAAAAAAAAAAAACTCAAGTCTCTTTAGAGTCTAATGACAACATATTGATACATTTTAATAAGGCGCGAAAAAACCCCGGGAAAGGTTACTATGACAACAGTCGCCCCTGCGCCATGTATCCCTATGGGGCAGCAGAAAGGGCTGTGGTTTAGAAAAGCTAAAATGCGTGTAAATCTTGTTTTCTTTACTTTTTCCAAAACCAAAACACACCAAAATATAAACAACAAGTACCCAGTAAAAGTCATGAAATTTCAACTTCTGGCGTTTTGTTTTGAATACACTAATTAGCATATTAAAGTGAGTGACGGTCAGTTGACCGCTAGGGGCGCTCCTAGTGTTAATGGCGAAGTGGCACGCTATCTGCCAAAACAATTTCCAAGTGGTAACTTTGTTTGTTACTTACATGGCAATAAAAATGATTCTGATTCTGATTCTCTAGTTTTCAGAGGACTTCACACCAGAACGTGCTGACGCGAGCCGGAAGTACCGGAAGTAGCCGGCCGGCTCTAATGCTAACAGAGCTATGCTAGCGGCTTCTTCTGTACAGATCTTCTCTAATATGCAGCTTTGCAGCGTGTCTTTGAACAGAGACATTCCACGGGCTTTACATAACAGTATTATGTGTTCACGGAGGTGCGGCATACGTTTTTTCATATTATTAAACGGTATTTCCGCATTGGCGAACACACTCGAAGCCGTTGCATAGGGTCACGGGAGCATGACAACGCATATTTTCACAAGCACACAGTTGTCAACCCTGGTTTGAGTTCTGGTGAAACCTGGTGTAGGTCCTGTTTTGGCTGTTTATGAGTATGTTCAGTCTGCTCGCGCAGTCCGCTAATGTCCCCGTGACCACTTTGCTGCTCTCTAATTGGTTGTCGCACGAACGTCCCAAGGAAAGGATGAGCAGAATCAATCTCCTGTGGGCGTTGATTTTTCGATCCTGCTCCTCCCCTTTGACTTTCCCGCCAAGTCCATTCGTGCGTGCCGAGAGATTGACGTTGCGACGGTCGAACGCGCGTCACCATAGACTTTGCATTGAAACCCGATGATCCGGTCTGAAAGCACCATTAGGCCGTCATTGGATTTTGTGATTAGGGGGTATGAGTGTGTGCATAGGGATAGACAAGGCGGTAATGGTGGAGGATGTGCGGTTTTTGTTAAAAATGGAAAGCAGTATAGGGTGGTGAGGAAGGGGACAGAGCTTGAGTTTATTGTGGTAGTGGTGTGGGTGAGTGAGGGGAAAATTACCCTGGTGAATTTCTATAACCCCTGTAGGAGACTAACAATGGATACGTTGCGGAAACTGGGTGATCACGTAGAGGGTAATTGTGGTGATTTTAATGCACATTTTGGGGTGAACGGAATGATGAGAATGGGTCAGTGATTGAGGAACTATTGGATGTTAGGAATTTAGTGCGTCTGCATGATGGGAGTGAAAGATAAGATAAGATAAGATGTACTTTATTAATCTCACACAGGAGACATTTACAACACGTTAATCCGGAACACGGATGGGAATGAATCTGCATTAGATCTTACTCTAGTGGCAGAATCTATTGCAGGGAAGTGTAAGGAGGGTTGATAAGGAGACCACTATGTTCGATCCTCGCGCACTGACCTAGAGGAGCGCGACAGACCGGTAAATGTGTGTGTGAATGTTTGCTTGAATGTATTTCTGACCCGCACAAGTGTGCACCTTTTGGCGGACTAGTACATAAGGGGAGAGGCGGACGAGAGAATGGATGATGCGTGTGGAGGTTACGTATGAATGGAGCGGGAAAAACTATGCGCGAGTGTGGAATGGCGTTTGTGTGTGCGTGCCGGTGTGTGTGTGATCAGCCTTCAGTATAGTACTATTTTCGAGCACGTAGCTAGAGACGGACCGCTCCGTCACACTGGCATTGCACCACGCCCCCCTAAGGAGGAGCGCACCACTTTTTGAGAAGGACTGGTCTATGGTTTATGTGAAGTACGCAAAGGCGCTTATTTCTGATATTTGTCCTGATACTTATGCGCACCCCTGGATATATTTTTTAACACATTTAATGTCTCAGAATTATGGAAGCCCGTTTCCGCCATGTAAAAAAAAAAAAAAAGCAAACAGAAAGTCAAAATTTTTAGTTTAAAACTCAAAATTACGACTTTTAAAAGTCAAAATTTTGACTTTAAAAGTCAAAATTACGACTTTAAAAGTCAAAATTTCGACTTTAAAAGTCAAAATTACGAGTTTTCAACTGCGCATGTGCAGTTGAAAACTCGTATGTGTTGTTGTCTGGAACGGTATCTGGACATCCTTCACCTGCAGATTAGGTGAAGATATTGCCTACATTGACCACTGCATCCTTGAAGTAGCCAGAAATAATGTTGTTTGATTGATTCTGTAAAACTTTCCTGTTTAAGCCCCAGACCGCTGTCGTAGGACGCAGGGAGGAGCTGTCTTTTTATTTATTTATGTTAAATTCAATTTACATATATACAACATTTAAATCAAACGACTTCTTATTTCGACATAGTAACAAATAATGTGAGCAATACGTTTTTATAATAAATCAAAGGAAAATGAGCCATCGAGACATTCCAATCCAATCTGCTATAGACCACTCTGACCAGACGATGGCGCTGAGAGGGGTCCACACGGAGCGAGTATTTCCACGGCTGAAATGATGCGCTTTCTACGTGTTGAGTACAAGGTTTTATTCATGCATCTATAATGGGTTTAACTCCATTTTCAAAGACCCTCACTGTTATCTGCGGAGTTATTTCTCCGGATTGTTGCTTAAAGAGTCATGGGCTTTATTTTGTCACAATAAAATAATCAGACAAGGCACTTATTCCCTGTATGTCTCTGTGTTCTTGCTCATACGCCAACAAGTTTACCCGCACGCTCGCTCCATCAGCTCACCCCCGCGTGCACGCAAACACGTCACATACTCTTCAATGCACTGATCGCAATTCCAAAAGGTTTAATATTGTCAGTGCCCGTGACTGTGGTTCTCCTGCCTCTGTCTGTGGACCTCCCTCACTGTCCTGTAATCTCGAACGGTCTCTCTGTCAGTCACAATATCATTCACTGCATTTCTGGTGCATCCATCGATGGATGTCAAAACTCGTAATTTTGACATTTAAAGTCGAAATTTTGACTTTTAAAGTCGAAATTTTGAGTTTTAAAGTCAAAATTTTGACTTTCTGTAGGCTTTTTTTTCTTTTTATATATGGCGGAAACGGGCTTCCATACAGAATGTGTTATACTGAAGAAATCCAAAACAATCCCTACTAAAATTTGTTTGAGAGCCTGTCCCAAACCACAGGTTCCTGACCTCTATTCTAGACTTTTGACTGAGAGCTTGTTGTTGTGACTCTCCTACTTTAACCCCGCCCTCTGTCCTCAGCAGGACAGAGGGCGGGGAGAGCTGTAACTGTGTATAGTTACAGTATGTTATATATAGACCTGTAGCAGACACTGAATCATCATAGTTTGAACTTGTCCTTTGTGGATTTTTGAATCAAAATGACGGAATGTTTACCCTTTCATGTTTTATTTCTGTTACGGATTTTCCTTTGCATTTCCCCTGGTGAGTAACATTCAACTACCTTTGCATTTATATCCAAATATGGAATTTATCCAAACATAATCAACATTAATATCTTGTTTTGTTCAGCATTTTGAGTTGCCTTGTGTATGAATTGTGCTATACAAATAATTGCCTAATTATTTATCCTATATTGTCTCTTCAGCTACAGCACTTGTTGTGACCAAAACAGTGGGAGAAAACTGTTCACTGTCGTGTGTGACAGAGGGAACAGTTGTTTCTCTCCGGTTAAAGAAGTCAGAAGACTGTTTCCTGATATACAGAAGTGGCAGAATAGAAAAGACAGACCATCAGTGTTTCAAAAATCGAGTTCGTCTGGATACGACAAGAGGATATCTTAATGTGATCCTTGAAGATCTTAGACCGGAGGACAAAGGCAGATATGAGTGTGATGCTTTAGTCACAACAGGAGAAAACAAGAAACAGTCTGTGATGTGCTACATTGATCTGAAAGTCATGAATATTAGTGTAAAAGGTAAAAGTCCTCCTGTCTTGTTCTGAACTCTGTTTTCTTGTCATTTACCCTCTGCTCTTGTTCACAGAGAAACAAACTCAGGACAATGATAAAGGACAAGATCCTTCTCAGGGTCTGGATGTGGTGAAGGTGGAGGTGGGGGTGGAGGTGGAGGTGTGGGTGTGGGAGTGGGTGTGGGTGGGGGTGGGTGTGCTGCTGTTTGTGCTGTTGATTTGTGCAGCTTTAATATTTTGGAAAAGATACATCAATCAGAGACAGCAGATTTGCAAACAGCCAAACAGAGAAAGCACCTCAAACTCAGTCTCACCAGAAAAGGCGCTCTTGGCATGTCCCCCTCCGACAGCTGTCACCTTGTCGTGGTGGAGGGGCTTGTGTGTTCAGGACCTGGAGCTGGGCCAGGTCACTGTTCCAGACCAAGAGCAGCAGGTTTTAAGTAAAAAAGTGAAATATTATAATATATAAAATTTAATGAGTACAAAGTATAAATCGTTTAAAAGTAAGGACTAAAATAAATAAGTTGTTCAGAAAAAAAACGGTTCAGAGGTTGAAAAAAATCGCGTTAAATATCCGTATTACGCAAGATCATGCAGTTTAACATGCAAACATTCTAAACTTCTCCGCGTCTTAAACTTTAAATATCAATAATAGTTTTAATAATAGAAAAGCTCATCTGAATCATGCACAGCTTATACTACATTCTAATACTTCTTGTGTCTCATGCTAAAGCAAGAGTCCTAATTAATTTTAATAAAGCACGATTGTCTTGTATTCTTTCATTCAGCTAAAGTGTGTGTTTATGAACGAATGACCTAGCTAAATGTTAAATTATACTTAATTGTCTCTTGCGATTAGTTGCCTGGCTGTATAATTACCTCGGTCGGTCTCATTAGTCCCGGCCACGCGTCTTCTTCTTATGGCGTCTTTCCAGTGTCGTTTGTCGTCGAAAGTGTCCAATGTCTTTGTGCCTCAAATGTCCAGATGTCTTGTCTCAAAGGGTCCAATGTCTTGTCTCAAAGTGTCCAATGTCTTTGCCTCAAATGCCTTTTTCCTTCTTCTTTAAACAATCCACTTACTTTCTTCTTCTTTCAATAAATCACGTCTTTCTTCTTCTTTCAATCACATTTCTTTCTTCTGCTTTCAATCACGTTTCTTCTTCTTTCAATGTCACTTTCTTCTTCTTTCAATAACTTTCTTCTTCTTTGCAATGTCTTTTTTTCTTTCTTTCATGTATTCTTTTCTCATTTTTGACTCTCACCCAATGTGTCACGTCCTTCTCTTAGATTTTACACAACGTTCTTCTCCGGGCACATAACCTCCACTCAGGTTTGTGCAAAGTCCTGGTTTTCTCCATGAAAATGGAGGCCGAGAGGTCTTCTTCGGAATTCATGTTAGCTCTGCAGGGCAGATGCTGCAGTCCTTTGCTGCCCCCTGTGGGTCGGGGGAGACCGCGATGGTCCGTGCTGATGGCGCCACGATTGAGGCTTGTGGGCAGAAGACGATTTTGCCAATATGAAACTGACAGAAGTTTTCTCGGAAAAAACAGACAAACAAGAGCACAAACAAGGGTGTTGAATTACAGGACGAAACCAATGATTAATTTACAATTCAAAATAAACCTATGAAATAATTAATATTAACAATTAAACATTACATTCTGAAAACCAAATCTGCATTCAAGCTGCTATCCTAAGCCAATTTTTCCAAAAGCATGAATGCTCTCTAAGATCATTCTAACTTGATAATCACCAAAATGGAGGGAAAAAACTTTGTCCAAACCCCTTGGAGATAAAAAATAAACATAAAATAATGCCCTTTATAATCCTAACTCCAAAGTTCTGTGGTGCCTATGACTCCATTGTTAAACAGTAACTTATCGTGTGTATAGAATGTAATGTTCTACAAACAAAAAATTTCTTTCTTCACGAGAGAGAGAAAGACAGCGAGCGAGAGAAGAGGAGAGAGAGAGAGAGAAGAGAGAGAGAGAAGACAGAACGAGGAGGGGAGGGGCTTCTCGAACAAAGGAACACATGGGATTCCTGAAATACTTTCCTCGTTTTTCTCGTGACAAGGTCTTAATCAGTGGTAAAAGTTTTTCTCGACGTCAAACGCCACTTTTACACCTTTTATCCTTAAAGTACGTAGTAAAAAAAATGGAAAACATTACTATATGCTGTACATGACTATTATCCCAGCAGAATCCTTTTCTTTTTTGATCTCTGTAACTGATTAAACATTACATCAGAATAAGAGAAAAACCTTACATAACTGATCATTTCTCACATAAAACTCGTATACTACAGCCAAGAGGCTCTCTTTTTCTTATTAATCAGATCATTATTAATCAGAATCCACATTTTAAATACTGGGCTTTTCTTCTGTTTAAATGTACCCTTTTTCCCCCCCCCACCCGGGGGATATGGAGTTTATATTCATTCCTATAACTTTCCGACCCTAACTGTCCCTATTTTTCCTAATCCTATTTCTCTAAACACGATGTGGCCTCTTTTTTGACTTAAAACGGTGTGTGCTTCTTGCACTCTAAACGGTGTGCCTCTTCTGCACTTATAAAACTCTGTGGCTCTGATCCATCATCTAGTTTCTGTTTTTTTTTTGGAGGACCCATGCTTCCCCCAAGGGCCAAAAACGTCTAACCTGACTATATGTTCTAATCAGCGTCCCGATAAATCGCCCGTCACGCGTCGTCTGGCAACGCTGCAGTCCCGCCGAGCCGGGAATTTCTCTCTCATCTGCCTTTTAAAAACAAGGTGCCAGTTTTCAAAGAGGTAACGATGCCGCCTTACCTCTTTCGAAGAGAAGAGAGAAGGTGTACAAAAGACACTAATACACCGTAAAAACGTGTTTAAAAGGCTTTAAAAGGCTTAAAAGGGTAAACAGAGCAGAGACGTCAAAACGCGTGCTCACTCCACGCACGCATTATGAATACGACTTGATGTCATGACTGAATGTCGTCAAAGTGTCTTGCGAAACAAAAGTACATAGTAAATCCAGAGCAAAAACATTAAAACTAATCCAAAACACAACACAACTGGACAAAAGCCACAGTCAAAACCAGTGGAATAGCAACTTCCTGATAAGTCAGAGGAGGGACTCAGCTGTGCTCATATAAAGAACAGGAAGGAGGGGAGTGTCCTATCAGCCAGCTTCCGGTCTAGGGTCCAGCCTTTTCCTCCGTTTGCCAGACTCCTGATGGAGTGAGGTTGAAAAGTGCAGAAGTCAGCAGGCCAAGACTAGGGGGTTGAAATCCAAACAGGAGAATCTGTTGTCCAGTTGCTGGCACAAGAAGACACCTAAAATAAAATAAGAAGGACTGGCCTCCCACTTAGAGGTTAGCTAGGTCATAAAACACATGGTTTTAGAATGTCACGTATTTATAAATACAACAATAGATAGATAGATAGATAGATAGATAGATAGATAGATAGATAGATGGATAGATGGATAGATAGATAGATGGATGGATAGATAGATACAGTACTTTATTGAACCCTTGTTTTGGAGAATCTTAGGTGTCCAGCAACAGAAACACATTCATCGATACAAACAAATAAATAAATAAAACACTATTTTGGGCTTTGGGCTGAGAACTGATTGGCTGAGTGAAAGTGGTCCTCTTTTTTTCACTTTTGTGTCTAAAATAAACAGATCTAAAGAAGTAACAGACAACAAAAATACATGCATGTGGAAACTATTGAGACTATTTGAGAGCGATGCGATGAACAAGTTAGACAGATTTTAAATAGCTCCAATCATTGTTGTACCAGTTTTAAATGTAGTTCTGGATAGATGCACATAATGCCAAAGAAAATCCCTAGTTTGTGAATGTCCTGTCCACTGACGATGGCAATTACTGTTTCTGATATTTGAACTAATATTTATTTTGATTATAAAAGTACATTTTAGATGATTTATTTGGAAACATTTGGTTTTCAGAGTTACCTCTACATAATCTGAGGGAGTAGCCTGTGTAGCCCCATTGAACGCGGTATCTCCTCAGCCGCCCTGCAGCCGTGAACAGCCTGCAGTCGTGCGCACTGTGTGAAAGAGATTCATAGATTCAGAAGGATCAAGGCTGTTCCAAAGGTAATGATGAATTCAAAACTAAATATTTTCTCTATTGACATAAGACCTCTTCCTCCTCTTCCTCTGAACTATAAAATAGAACGATTTATGTTTTGGTGTATGTTTAACTTCAGCGTAAGCCTTTTCAGTCTAACCAGAGTTCTTCAGAGTCCATCTTTTTTGTGCCTATTGCACATCCTATTTTTAAATTAGTTTTCTTGAAACGTTTTCTTACCTAATAAGGTTGAAATACTGGCAGCGTTCATTCTTTGTGCATGCTTTCTGACACTGTCCAATATTGTGTTTTCTCAGAATTGGTCCAATTTGGGTTCCTCCATAAGTTAGCTGTTTTTTATACTGCTGGCGGTCGCAACCTGAAATTAAAAACAAATGGGTCACATTATTTATTGTTTTCAAAATAATAGAAGTATAATATACTCCAAAACAACACAAAGTCATGAGTTTGATCCCACTTTTCTGTGTGGAGTTTGCATGTTATAACTTTGTCTGCATATATTTCCTCTGGGTGCTCCGGTTTCTCCTACCACTAAAAACATGTGCAATAGGTCTGAATCAAATATGCTATAAGAATAAACATTGCTTAGGTATTTACTTATGTACTTACTGGAAAAAAACTAAAACATTAACAAAAGAGCAACAGCCTGGATGGCATGTACAGGGTTGTTTTAAAGCTGGGGTACTCTCTCATAAATAATACATTTTACTTTCTGTTTTTCCCAACAGGAAGTCAAAGTAAACCACAACATGCTGCTTCCATCTTATTAGAAAACATTATTTTCCTAATTAAAACAAAGAACACAGTGAGTCTATGTGACGGTTTGGGCAGAGAGATGAGTGAAGGTGGTTCTCTCATTTTTACTTTTCTGTCTGAAAAAGATCAAAATAAGGCCAAAAATACATAAATGTAATAGGGCAATAATTAACAATTATTTTGACAATTTATTCGTTTTCTGATTATTCTTTTGATGAATCGATTAGAACTTTAGGTCCCAAAAGCTAAGTGGATATGACTAAAGTACAGTTCTCAGATGTTGGTCAGGACGATCAGAGTTGGACGGTTTCACCTTTTGTAGATGTTTTAGTGATGGGAACACCAGAGAACTCTGCACAGACACAGGGAGAACATGCAAGCTCAACTCGGAAAGTCCTTGTTCTGACAGGAGTTTGAACCCAGGACCTTTTGCCAGGCTACATCATTTTATTACGTTGTTCCATTTTGGTTTGAAAGTCACTCATCCCAGCTTTAAGATATAGAGTAATGTCCATATTGTGTCCATCTCATACCTAGAGGCCCGAGAGGCCCAGCAGCAGCAGCAGCAGAGTCAGAGTCTTCATCTTGAGTCCACACTGATGAACTCCTGAGAATCGTTCAGGCTTTTACCCACAAACCTGCGAAAAGGTCACATTTACTTTTCAGGTTGGTTCTGAAATAGAGTACATGTGCAAACAAGTACGTGTCCTGGTTCAAATGTACATATTTAATCTTGGTGACATTACCTTGTCAGTACAATTCAACCCATTGTTTTCCAGCTGGTTTTGTATTTTTTTGAAAATGTCTACTTTCATTACAAAATACATTACTATACATAAGTCATCTTTATTCATACAGCGTGTAAAATATGGCTGTATATTCCTAAGTGATACGGATTCCAGGTGTAGTATTCAACACATTGAACGATGCAGAAACCCAGTCCAGTTTACATTTTATTGGTGGTAGGAACATTGAGATACTATGGAGAGAGGGCGGGACCTATAGACTGTAACTATTAACGGACGTAAGATAAGATAAGATAAGAGTTCCTTTATTTGTCCCACAGTGGGGAAATTTTGATGTTGCAGCGCACAGACAGGACAGTAGTAAGAGCACACAAGGAGCATACAATATATACAAAATAAGTAGTAACTATATTTCTTAGCTAGATTGACTCGCAGTAGATGCTGTAAATGCTTCAATACCAGTCAAAAAAAATAAAAATTTAATTTATATACTGCATGTACTAGAGCAGAGTTGTATACTGTACATATAGGACAGGATAATACGTAGATAAAGTAACGTGACATTGTTCAGTGACATTCTGAAGTTGCAGTATTGCACATTGCACATGCTTTAAGTACTTATTTACAGATTTATGAAATGTACAGGCTCAGCAATTCTCATTGTACAGTCTGACAGCAGCAGAAACGAAAGACTTACGGAACCTTTCCGTCACACGGTTTCAGTCTGTCACTTTGCTTTCCAGAACAGACAGGGTGTCCTGCAGGGGGTGACAGTCATGGTCCAGCATAGATGTTAGTTTATCCGCAGGACCCTCCTGTCCCCCACCTGCTGCACTGTGTCCAGGGAACAGCCCAGGACAGAGCTGGACTTTGACCTTGTCCAGCTTCTTCCTGTCCCTCTCTGTGATGCTGCTGCTCCAGCAGACCACAAGAGGCCGATACCACCACAGAGTCCTAGAAGGTCTTCTGGAGTGACCCCTGCACTCCAAAAGACCTGAGCCTCCTCAGCAGGTAGAGTCGGTTCTGGCCGGTGTTTGTGTGATAAGTCCAGTACAGTTTGTGGTTCAGATGAACACCCAGGTACTTATGAGAGTCCACTCTCTCAATGTTCCTTCGCTGGATGTTCACTGGAGCTGGAGCGGCAGAAATCCACCACCATCTCCTTGGTCTTCCCTGCGATGATGAGGAGGTGGCCACAAAGTCCTGTATTACTCGTCTGTACTCTGCGCCATCGCCCTCGGAGCTGAGTACGATGATGGCAGAGTCGTCGGAGAACTTCTGGAGGACACAACCGTCCGTGTTGTGTCTGAAGTCCGCAGTGTAGAGGGTGAACGTTCTTGTTCAGTCGAGCGTTTTGAAAGTACGGTTTTATGGGCTGATATGACTGTCTCCACTGTTGTTTGATTGTGTAATTTTTTCTTGTGTTTTTAATTATTGCTGGTTTTTGATGTGAAGCACTTTGTGACCTTCTGTCTGAGAAAGGTGCTATATAAATAAACTTTGCTTGCTTGCTTGCTTGAAGAGGAACGGCGCGAGGACAGTCTCCTGGGGAGCCGCCATACTGCAGGTCAGGACCTCAGAAACAAAGTCCCTGGTTCTCACAAACTGGGGTCTGTCTGTGAGGTAGTCCAGGATCCACTCGGACAGGTCGTAGTACGAGTGGATCACGACCTGTCTGAGTGGATCCTGAGTGGCGGAGGTACTCACGCCTATCTCCGCCATTGAAACTAATGTGCCACCAGTACCACTTGTGCCTTCTAGAGGGTACTAGACTGGTCCAAAAAAACAAATTCCCCTCAGCATTGACACACATAGTTTAGAGATTTCATGACACTTTGAAGCAGCTGTGTTTAAAGTTAAACTCATAATTCTAAAAATGTACAAGGCAGTACTTTTCCACTCCTTGTTTTGGTTATCTCAAGGTTGAAGCCACTGGCACCGTGGCGAATGCTGATCGGAGGTCTTCATTCTTCCATGTTGTAAAATATCACTTTCATTCTGTGAAACTGTGTTCGTGCTTGTCTACTATTGCAATAAAACATGTATTCTGTCTGTCGACACAATCCCAGACGATTGTCATTTTCTTCAGTAGCTTTGGGCCAAGAGCTGACTTTTGGACCATCCTGTAAAACCGTTTTTGAGAAGTAAGAAGACGCTATACAAAAGCATTGGATAATTCTCTTTCTGGGTACAACCCCACCGGCCCGGGGTGTTATTGCAAGTATGTCAGCGCACATGCTCATGGATGTTTTTGAGCCAGGACCAAGGAGATTTTATACATAGCGCCTTTCACAGACTGAGAGCCTGAATAAAGTAGATACAGTAGATAGATAGATACTTTATTGAAATTAAGGTGTCCAGTAGCAGCAAAAATAAAAAAATAAAATTGATCATTCTTAAAAGCTAACAATAGTAATGATAAGCAACAGCAGAGGTGGAGTAGCCTCTGGGTGGAGCAGGACAGTTCACATGGTGGTTTGGTTCCGGCCATTTTCTCCGCTCTAGTTCAAAGTAAAAGGCTGAATGCTTCCTTCGCATTTTTCTAAAAGTTAGCACTCCTCCAGTGGATTTTCACCTGATCCACCTGGTTCAGACCATGAATCCTCTCTGCTCTGGTCTGGACCAGTGTTTGAGAAGTCGGAATGGCTGATGGACCAGGATGAGTCTGTTCTTTTTGATTTCAACTGAAGGAATCCCAAAAAGAGAACATAGAGCGACAAAGGGAGTACAAGACAAATGTAAGAAGCCAAAACAAAGGAATTACCAATAATTACCTCCACACTATAGTCGTTGGTGTTGTTGGATGCTGAGGCCATGTCTTGTACTGGTATGTACATAACTGGAAACCTTCCAATTGTCCAGATTTCACCTAATATGTCCTTTCAATTTAAAGAGAAATCCGTGGTACACTAACAAAAAATAGTGTAATGAATACTGATACTTCTTAGAATGTTTCCCAGGGTGATCCCATTGAATTGGTTATCTAAGTTAAGGTAAGTAAGGTCGTCTGGTCAGTTTTTCAGATTAGCCTGGAAACTATGGTCATAGTTTAGTCAAATCAAAACACCTGTGTTTTCTTTGGCTTTCACAGTCTTTTCTTCATAGCAGACATATGCAAAATCTGCTTTTATCGCCTCCCTTCATAATAAATGATCCTATTCACGGGTGTGAGCAGAACACATTTACGGAAGCACGCCACAGAATAAATCTGCTGTGCTATCCATGGGAGTGCTTCTAAATTAATATCTATTCAGGCTCAGCCTGGGACCCCCTTTCACTAAGACATTAGTGAAAAGAATACATATAAGAATGAGCCTTTCTTTTAGTATTTTAAATCAATATTGATCATTCAAATAAAATCTAGGTGTGTCATTTGTTTTTAATAGTGAACCAGGTTTTGCTGATCACACACGCAGACACATAAGCAGACACACAAGCTGACGTGTACACGGACAAACACATTCACACACTGCTGTTCGAAGGATGAAGGATGAATGAAAGGAAAGGGGAAAAAGTAGAGTCTCCATTGCAATCCCTGCTGGAATTTGGGACAGCAGCTCAAAAGACTGGAAACGTATCTGTGCTATAATCGTCAATGGGTCGAATGGTCAGAGGGAACTGACCAGTGAAAATGTAAGTGATGATCTCAATTATTGTCCAAAGCTCTGTAAAGACAATGGTTGTTGGAACATATATGAAACTAGGCCTTAACTTACTGCAAGAAATGACAATGAAAATTAAAAATCACCACTGTTGGCTAAGGGAAGAGGGAAAAAAACTATTTGTTTTTTGTGTTCCCTTAGAGACTGTACCAGAGTAAAGATGGGACTTTCAAAGAAAAAGGCCCACATTTGAACATATACGGATTTATAGTGCAGATGGATAACTTCACCCTCATCTTGAGGCCTTTGCAGCGTGTGCAGGAAGAGAAAGAGAAGATGAAGCACTTCAAGAGAATGGTCCATCATCAGCAGCAACAACACAACCTTCTCCACTGTCCCTAAAGATCTCAGCACCTGCAACACATCACTTTCTCAAGAGAAGGACACTGAACTTTGAGGAAAGGATGTTCAAATGATGACAGCAGAATCATCCCCAGTTCTCGAAGAACAGATACGCCTTCCCATTATCACCCTAAGCTCCAGCACTCATAACTGTGCTGGGAGTTTCTGGCAAGCACCTTCTCTGCCCACAAACTAGAGCAATATCAGAGTGATCCTTCCCTCTGTTTTCTTCCCTTCTCTCTTGAGTTTTCCTGCACATTGTGAAAACATATTCAACTCAGCAGAGAAGTTGGTTCTGCTTACACAATCCTTCGCTCCAGAGTTTTCCTCAAAGGGCAGGATCTAATCTCCCCAGCCTTCTCCTCAAGAGACATCATGAGACCAAGGCTTTGTTTAAACGGAAACGCTGCGGAGACGCTGTGAAGCAATTTGCAAAAACGATCGTGCTCCAGATTTGAAGTGCAGAGTGTCTACACAGCGACGGAAATCAATATAGTTCTGGCATCCAGTCAGTAGTGGGCAGTAGAACTTTATAACGCAACCCCCGCCAGTATAACAACTTCCTCAACATCCTCCTAAGGCCACTGCAAAGACGTAAAAAGAACGCACTATCATCATTCTACATTTAACAGTAGTAGCAAAAACGGAAACCACAATTACAGCTTCGCATTTTACTGTTGCAGCGTCTTTGTATAAACAGCGTCTAAAATCATCTGCACCTGTCACTTTGAGAATTCAAACAGGAAGTTCTCAGATAAGCTTGTACCTTTTCAGTTTGACTACAACTTTCTTTTGTTTTATGATTTTTTTTTTGTTAAAAAGCCTCCAAATATCCTTAACTTTGTGTTGGTCACGTTTACA